CATGGGGACAGCCAAACCCCATTGACAGGGTGGCTTCACCACCCTGCAAAGGCTCACAAGCTTCGCAGGCTTTCTCGCCACACTCATTATCAGCGCTGCCTAGAGCCTCTCATTTCCTGGTGCCATCAGTCTCCGGCACCATGGAGAAGCATAAGTTTTCACCAGCTAAGAGAGCTGAGTCAGAACCCAAGCACACCACACTGGCCGGTGCTACTGAGGCAGTGGCACCTACAAAGCCGTATATGCCACCATCACCAGCTCCCAAAGACACACTACAGTGCCCAAAGAGACCATCCCAGGTCAGACTAGACATGAACATGCTCCAGCACTGCAGAATAAGAAAGCGCTGCACAAGATGTGGCACCTACAAAAATCTCCTCTGCCAGGCACACTGCTCAGATCAGGAGCTTGCTCACCACGCTCCTTAAGGGAGTCTCATAGCTAGGGGTACATTCATATCCTAGAAAGGGCTCCCCACTCTCCTATGCTGCTCTCACCTAGAATTGACTATGGCTGCAGACATAGGAGTAGATTTTCATCATGCCATTCCTCTCTGTCGGGATCAATGGTGTCCTGGCATTCATATCAGGATCACCCCCTACAACAACATCCCCTGTGGCCCAAGCAATCGTGGATGTATCCTCCACAACAGTTTCAGCCACAGTGGCTGCCTTGGGAACCATGGCGGGGTATCGGCCATGTTCCTCCCATGTTTACCACTCAAGAGATACAGCTTCTACTTCACAACAGCACACAACTATGCGCCCCCCGACAATATCCACACATTCCTCATTGTCTCACCCACCCTCAGTAATAACACAAGTGGGCTCCAATGATAACAATAATTTACCTCATTTGGACTAAGAGAGTTCCTCACATGACCCCAGATCCACTAGACCAGACAAGTCAGTCTTACAGAGATCACCCTGTCCACCAGCAGATGATCTAAAACAATTTCAAGAATTATTTAACTGGGTAGTTCAATCACAGGACATTACACTCCAAGAGGTGCAAGACAAGTAATACAAATTACTGATGATACTACAACCCATGGCATTCTCAAAGATAGCTTCTTTGATGAATAGAACTATCTTGGAGCCATGAGTCGTGCTTTGGCAAATTCCAGCCTCTATTTCCCCAGCAAACCACAGGGAGGACAGAAAATATTTTGTCCCTGCAAAAGACATAGACTTCATCTTCGCACATCCTCAGCTGAACTCACTGGACACAGACTCGGTTAATTACAAGGATAAAAACCTGCAATTTAAGTCTACACTTCTAGACAAAGAGCATAAGCAGCTGGATACCTTTAGTTGCAAGGTGTACTCTTCTGCCACCCTCCAATTTAGGACATCAAATGACACAGTCCTCCTGGCTAACTATGATCATGCAAACTATGCCAAACTACAGGTTCTACTACAGGACCTTCCTGAGATTAAGAGGCTAAGCCTCCAGTTCATCATTAGGGAGGGTCTCTCTATAGCACAAACTGCCCTCCAGGCTGCAATGGATGTTGCTGACATGTGGCTATGGCCACAGCTATGGCAATCATAATGCATAGGGCCTCATGGCTGCAGTTATCAGGGATCCTGAAAGAGTTGCAATCAAAGGTGGAGGACCTCCCCTTTGATAGAAAACAGCTGTTTACCATGAAGACAGATGAAGTCCCATGAAGGAGTCTCATAACACACCGCACTCTCCGGAGATGTACACTTCACCAAACAAGAGGCGCAACCCCCCTACCAAAGGCTAAGGGACTATAATTATAACTATTACAGACAACAGCAGAGGCCACATGGCAACAGTCCCAAGCAATGCCCTAACAAGGAGGAGGACACAGCAAAATCAGTCCTCCATCACTCAAGCAGAGGTAAAAAAAATTACTCACCCTAGGGGCAATAGAACCTGTTCCCACAGAATACAAAGGAAAAAGTTTCTACTCCAACTATTTCCTAACAGCCAAAAAACAGGGAGATGGAGACCAATCTTGGATCTCAGAAAACTCAACAAGTTCATCCGCACCACAAAATTCAAGATGGTGACCTTTGCAACTATCATTCCTACACTGGACAAAGGAGACTGGTTCTCAGCCCTCGATCTTCAAGACTCATATTTTCATGTAACCATTCATCCTGCTCACAGGAGATTTCTCAGATTCGTCATAAGTCATTACCAATACAGGGTCCTCCCCTTTGATCTTTCTACAGCCCCTTGAGTGTTCTCAAAGATGCTAGCCATAGTCCCAGCCTTTATCAGAAGACAGAATGTCATCATCTTCCTCTACCTCGATGATTATCTTATCAAGGGCTCCACTTGTCAACAAACTATAGCGATGACAACTGCTATCAGGAAATGTTTTTCCTGACAGGGCCTGCTTATCAATATACACAAGTCCACCAGCGTATGTCTACACTACCCTCCTAGTTCGAACTAGGAGGGTAGTGTAGACATACCCTACTCAAGCAGAGGTAAAAAAAATTACTCACCCTAGGGGCAATAGAACCTGTTCCCACAGAATACAAAGGAAAAAGTTTCTACTCCAACTATTTCCTAACAGCCAAAAAACAGGGAGATGGAGACCAATCTTGGATCTCAGAAAACTCAACAAGTTCATCCGCACCACAAAATTCAAGATGGTGACCTTTGCAACTATCATTCCTACACTGGACAAAGGAGACTGGTTCTCAGCCCTCGATCTTCAAGACTCATATTTTCATGTAACCATTCATCCTGCTCACAGGAGATTTCTCAGATTCGTCATAAGTCATTACCAATACAGGGTCCTCCCCTTTGATCTTTCTACAGCCCCTTGAGTGTTCTCAAAGATGCTAGCCATAGTCCCAGCCTTTATCAGAAGACAGAATGTCATCATCTTCCTCTACCTCGATGATTATCTTATCAAGGGCTCCACTTGTCAACAAACTATAGCGATGACAACTGCTATCAGGAAATGTTTTTCCTGACAGGGCCTGCTTATCAATATACACAAGTCCACCAGCGTATGTCTACACTACCCTCCTAGTTCGAACTAGGAGGGTATCAGCCTTTTATCAGGGGAAGGAAGTGGGTGCATGCCCTGTGAATGGTCCTGAGCTCCAAGATGTTGATATGGAGGTGTCTCTCCCATTGGGACCATCTGCCCTGTATTGACCTTGTGCCACAATGGGCACCCCAGCCCATAAGTGATGTATCCATTGTTATAGTTACTGATCGATCTGGGTGGTGGAAGGGTATACTGGCAAGTAGGATGGTTGAAGAAGTCCTCCAGTCAATAAATTGTAGCACTGGCAGAGGAAGCATAAGATGCCTTGCGAGGCTGTGTCAGGTTGGAATGTAGGTGGTTGTGAGCCAATGCTGTAGGCAGCACATGTGTAGCCTTGCGAACAGGACCATAAAGGTTGTGGCCGCCATGTGTCCTAATAATTGGAGGCACATCCAGACTGTGGAAAAGGGAGTATGTTTGATCCCGCAAATAAGGTTGCAGAGGACTTGAATCTTTGTGGTTGGAGGTAGTCTCTTGCTGTTACTGAATCTAGAAGATTTGTGTGTGTGTGTGCTGTGTGGTGGTATGTCTACACTACCCCGCTAGTTCGAACTAGCGGGGTAGTGTAGACATACCACCACACAGCACACACACACACAAATCTTCTAGATTCAGTAACAGCAAGAGACTACCTCCAACCACAAAGATTCAAGTCCTCTGCAACCTTATTTGCGGGATCAAACATACTCCCTTTTCCACAGTCTGGATGTGCCTCCAATTATTAGGACACATGGCGGCCACAACCTTTATGGTCCTGTTCGCAAGGCTACACATGTGCTGCCTACAGCATTGGCTCACAACCACCTACATTCCAACCTGACACAGCCTCGCAAGGCATCTTATGCTTCCTCTGCCAGTGCTACAATTTATTGACTGGAGGACTTCTTCAACCATCCTACTTGCCAGTATACCCTTCCACCACCCAGATCGATCAGTAACTATAACAATGGATACATCACTTATGGGCTGGGGTGCCCATTGTGGCACAAGGTCAATACAGGGCAGATGGTCCCAATGGGAGAGACACCTCCATATCAACATCTTGGAGCTCAGGACCATTCACAGGGCATGCACCCACTTCCTTCCCCTGATAAAAGGCTGAACCATCCATGTCCTTACGGACAACACACCATGTATGTTCTATGTCAGTCAGCAGGGGGGGTGCCTGATAACACTTACTATGTGCAGAAGCAATCAGGTTTTGGAACTGGTGTATCAGGAACTACATAACTCTAACCTCCATGTATATACCAGGACAGCAGACTGTCATGGCCAACAAACTGAACAGACACTTCTCAGACCAACACAAGTGGGAGATCAACATCAATGCTCTCCTCTCCATTTTTTTCACAAGTGGGGTTTCCCAGCTATAGACCTTTTTGCAACAGCATTCAACTGCAAATGCCACAAATTCTGCTCCTGAGCAGGTCTAGACAAGAGGTCAGAGGGGATGCCTTCACTATCCGCTGGATGGCTCCTGTACTTTATGCCTTTCCACCAATCCCCCTACTGGCCAGAGTGATCAACAAGATTATCATAGAATCATAGAACTGGAAAAGACCTCAGAAGATCATCAGGTCCAGCCCCCTGCTCTAGGCAGGATCAATCCCAACTAAATCAACCCAGCCAGGACTTTGTCAAGCCATGACGTAAACACCTCCAGGGATGGAGACTCCACTACTTCCCTAGGTAACCCATTCCAGTGCTTCACCACTCTCCTAATGAAATAGTTTTTCCTAAGATTCACTCCAACCAGGCCACAGTAATCCTAATAGCCCCCACCTGGCCAAGACAACTCTGCTTCCCTTACCTACATTACTTCCCGATAGATCAATCCATTCCTTTCCCCGCAGTGCCAAACCTTTTGACTTAGCACTACAGCAGGACATGTCATCCAACATCAAGACTCTGAAACTCACAGCATGCCTTCTCCATGGTTCCAGAATGAAGAACTTACTTGTCTGGACAGGGTCAAACACGTCCTACTGAACAGTCGACGACCCTCCACGAGAAGCACCTACCAGAACAAATGGAAACATTTTCAACAATGGTGCATAACTTGCAGTTTATATTCCAATACCGCCCCTATACCTACCATGCTGGAGTATCTCATGGACCTCAGCAACACGGGTCTCTCTATCATCTTGATCTGTGTCCATTTGGTGGTGGTCACAGAATTTCATGAACCCGTGGACGACTTCTCCCTCTTTGCACATCCAATGGTGAAGCGATTCCTCATAGGCCATCAGAAAACATGCCCAAACCTGCACCCCCCAGTGCCATCGTAGGACTTGAACTTGGTTCTCGATGTGCTCACCAGACCACTTTGAGCGATTAGCCATTATATCACTACAATACCTGTCCATGAAGGTGGACTTCATAGTGGCAATAACAGCAGCTGGATGTGTGGGCAAAATTGCAGCCCTCATGGCTGACCCACCTTTCACTACCTATGCTAGGGGTTCCCAACCTTTTTCAGTCCCCTGTTCAATATGAAAAGAAATAAATTCTAGACTCTAGAATCCACTACTTTTTTCACTAACACTACTACTTTTGGAATATTTCAATTAGGATAATCTAGTTATTTACCAAATATTCCCCGTACCCTCTTGACAAGCTTCTCGTACCCCCTAGGGGTACACGTACCCCAGGTTGGGAACCCCTGACCTATACCAAGAATAAAGGTATACTCAGGCCTCACCCAAAGTTCCTCCCGAAGGTCATATCCAACTTCGCTTACCTGTTTATTTTCCTAAGCCTCATAACTCCTCCTCCGAGGCCATCTTGCACACACTAGATACAAGACAAGTGATTACGTTCTACCTCAATAGAACCATGGGACCCAGAAAATCGGATAGACTCTTTGGAGCCTGGTCTGGGCCACATACAGGAACAGCCATCTTGTCACAGCATCTATCCAAATGTATTGCCACCTGCATATATACAACTTATGAACTTCATAGCAAGCAGCCCCACGGAGGATCAGGGCTCACTCCACATGTGTGATGGCCATGATAATGGCTTTCCTAAATAACGTTACATTGGTGGACATTTGTAAAGCAGTTACAAGATCCTCCCAACACACTTTCACACAACTTTACGCCCTACAGAAAGGGTCAATATCTTCTACCTCTCTGGCAGATGCGATCCCTCCTTCCTATACATAAACGAGTCCAACTCCCATCCCCATCTGGCAGGTACTGCCACTGCGTCACCTTAATGGAGCACCCATAGGGACACCACTCGATGAAGAAGAAGAAATTACTCACCCTATGGAGTAACAATGGTTATTTGAGATGTGTGTCCCTGTGGGTGCTCCGCTACTTCCCTTCCTCCCCTCTGCTTGGAGTCTTTGTGACAGATGGCCAGACACTAGAAATCTGCAGTTATATGCTCAAGACATCCTCAAGTCCTTGGACTCTTTGGGATGTTTCACTAACATGTTGTAGACATGTATTAAATAAAACTAAATAAAGTAAACAAAATTAAACTAAATAAATAAACTCTTGACTTGAAAACTTTCTTGAATTATACTGCTTGAGCCATTCTTTACTCGGACTTCCAATGTCCCCATTGATTGATTTTCTGCTCATACCTTGTACCATGACAAGACAGAAGTTACAAAGAGCTTTGGGTTCAGAAACCCAGGCTAAGAGCACAAGGAGATTTCTGAAGCTTCTCCTTTCTCACCGGGCTAAAGAAACAAGGAGAATTTTTTTTTCTTCTTTTTCAAATTCTCAGCTAGAACCAAGATGCAACATAGCCACATACAAAAAATGTTCAAAAAATATGCAGAGCTCAAAATAAATTTAGTTCAGCTTTAATTTAAATTTGTTTAATTTGAATTTGAGGCAAAAGTTTGGGTCAGATTTTGTTTTAAATTGATTTATTGGCACCTAATATCTATTATTCTTCCAAAGAGGCCCAAGTTATATATATTGGAAGTTATAATTCTCATGTTCCTTTCTGAGCTGGGATCTAGGCACATGTCCTAAGAACATAAGAATGACCATATTGCATCAGACCAACGGTCCATCTAGCCCAGTATTGTGTCTTCCAACAGTGGCCAATGTTAGATGCCACAGAATAAGTGAACAGAACAGGTAATCATCAAGTGAATCTTCTCCGGTCATCCATTTCCAGCCTTTGACAAACAGAGAGTAGGGACACCATTCCTGCCCATTTTAATAAGTATTGACGGACCTAACCTCCATGAATTTATCTAGTTCTTTTTTTAACCCTGTTAGAGTCCTGTTCTTCACAACATCCTCCGGCAAGGAGTTCCACCGGTTGAGTGTCCACTGCATGAAAAAAAAACCTTCCTTTTGTTTATTTTAAACCTCCTACCTATTAATTTCATTTGGTGACCACTAGTTCTAATGTTATGGGAACATTTAAATAACTTCCATAAAATTCTCAAAATGGACATAACTAAGCAAATGTTGAAAGAGATTGAACCAAGATGATCCAGAAAAATAGGATGAACATCTCAATAAACTGTACAGAAAAGAGAAATTTGGAGAAGTACTCTATTTTGGCAGAGCTAAATCAATGTTTAAAGTTTGAAAACTGGAAGAAAATGTTATTAAAAACCAAATTAACTATAGTCCTTTTCTGTTAAAACATCACAAATTATAAGATTTATAGGGATGAGGGAAAAATATAGTGATGGAATTCCTATTTTAAAATATTTACTAAAAAAAATGAAAAAATTTATCAGTCTCTTTTTAAAAGATATTGGAACTAAAAATGAACTGCATAAAATAACACTGTATTTTTGAAAAATATAATTATTTAAATAAACCATGTTGTCGTACCTCAGTGTTCTGTACCTCGGTACCTTCGGTGGTCTGAACTGCCAGTGTCAGCGTCGTCTGGTCAGGGTTGTCCTGGCGCACTCCTGACAGGACCCCGAATATCTGCCCTCCACGAGGCTTTGGCAGCTCCCTGTACTCAAGCTGCCACACATCCTCCCCCTCTGCTCAACATGTGGGGGTTGGACAACTTGAGTCATTAGGCAGTGCATAGAGGATAAGCCATCTGCATTTCTGTGGTGACTTCCTTCTCTGTGTTGCACTCTGAACTGGTAGGGCTGGACGGATATGAACCAGTGAGTCACCCTGGCATTCTGTTCCTTATTTCGCTGCATCCACTGGAGTGGGGCATGGTCTGTCACCAAGACAAACTTGTGTCCTAGTAAATAGTAGCGTAATGCCTCCATGGCCCATTTTACGGTGAGGCATTCCCTCTCTACTACAGCATATTTCCATTCTCTAGGTAGCAATTTTCTGCTGAGGTACAATATTGGGTGTTCTTCCTCCCCTATCATCTGGGATAAGACAGCCCCCAGTCCAACCTCGGATACATCCGTTTGCAGGTTGAATTCTTTTGTAAAATCTGGGGCTATTAGCACAGGGTTGTTGCAAAGGGCTGATGGCAAGTCGGTGAATGCTTTTTCTGCTGTGTCCGATCAAGTGATTACATCGAGGCTTTGAGCTTTTATTAGGTCTGTCAGAGGGCTGGCTCACGTAGCAAAATGCGAGATAAAACAACGATAATATCTCACAATCCCTAGGAATTCCCGTACTTGCTTTTTCCGTTTTGTCTGGGGCCACTGTTGGATAGCTTCTAGCTTATTCAATTGGGGTTTCAACAGACCTTTCCCTATCATAGCGCACTTCGATGGATTTGCCATGAGGCTGGCACGCCTGAAGGTCTCCAGTACTACCTCTACCTTCTGGAGTCTCCCAGTCTGGGGTATGGATGATCACGTCATCTACGTAGGCGGCTGCAAATTTGGTGTGGGGCCACAGCAGCTTAACCATGAGGTGCTGGAATGTAACTGGGGCTCTGTGGAAACCAAATGGGAGCACTGTATACTGGAATAGACCTTCCAGGGTGGAGATTGCTGTTTTTTCTTTAGCGTCTTCTGCAAAAGGAATTTGCCAGTATCCCTTAGTTAGGGCTAGTGTGGTCAGATATCGAGCATCACCTAGCTGGTCAACTAATTCATCGATGTGGGGAATAGGATAGGCATCAAAATGGGAGATCTCATTCAGTCTTCTGAAGTCATTGCAGAAACAGGTGGAGCCATCAGGTTTAGGAACTAGAACTATCAGGCTGGACCACTGACTGTGAGATTCCTCTATAACCCCCAATGCCAGCATCTTTTCCACTTCTGCTCTGCTCTCTTCTCTTTTTGCCTCAGGGACCCGATAGGGTCTCAGCATTACTTGGGCCCCGGGACTGGTGATGATATGGTGGACAGCCTCTGATGTTCAGCCTGGTTTCGTGGAGAACACATCTTGGTTTCTGAGAATCATTTCTGTTACCTCCTTTTTCTGCTTGGGTGACAACTCAGGGCCTATCTTTACCGACGCCTGGGGTTCTGTTGGGAGGATTGGTTCCCTCTGAGCAACCACACAAACCTCATGGTCTTTCCAGGATTTCAGTAGGCTTATCTGATAAATTTGCTCTTGTTTTTGGTGCCCTGGTTGCCAGACTTTATAATCTACTTCTCCTATAGCTTCGATCATCTCATACGGACCTTGCCACTGAGCTAATAATTTGCTTTCAGTAATGGGTACTAGCACCATGACCTGGTCCCCCAGCTGGAACTGCCGAACTTTGGCCTGGCAGTTATAGCAGGTGCGTTGGGCTTCTTGTGCCTTCTCCATATGCTCCCTCACAATTGGGGTAACTCGGGCTATGCAATCCCTCATTTGTAGTACATAGTCCACTATGTTCTTCCCCTCAGCCAATTCTTCTTCCCAGCCCTCTTTGGCAATATCCAAGATGCCACGGGGGTGCCGCCCGTATAGTAGCTCAAATGGGGAGAATCCAGTAGATGCCTGGGGCACTTCTTAAATGGCAAACATGAGATAGGGCAGCAACAGGTACCAATCTTTCCCATCGGTGCTCACCACTTTTCTAATCATGGCTTTCAGGGTCCAGTTAAATCTTTCCACCAGCCCGTCAGTCTAGGGGTGGTAAATCGATGTGCGCAAAGTC